GAGCGGTCACTTATTTAGTTCATGCATTTCAATGATGAGAATTGCAAAGTAATGCATGTTTGTCGTCGGGGCTAACTTTGTTGTCAACTCAAAAAGACTATAGTTAAACAAGACCTTGGTATGATGATCTCTAATTATCTTAACGTCAGGCCACAAGTGGAGTTAGCCGCATCAATAGCAAATAGAATTCTCGGGCGACTTAAAAAAATATTTCACAGTCGCAGCTTTTATTTATGGCACATCCTTTATCTCATTTAGATTCGCTCCAACCTTGTGTCACCGCATTTAAAGTCTGACATCAAGTCCAACTTCAAGCAACAAAAACAATATTATCTATTAAACACCTGTCCAATGAAAATTGACTCTAACCACTCGTCTAACAACACCACGAAAGAGTAGACTTTATCAAGCAATTTAAAATCACTTGTCAACTCGACTTTCAAACAGTAAAGCCAAGTATATTTTTGAGAGAGCATAACCTTAAACCAGAACGCCAGCTAGTAAGGAATTGTAAAGAACGATATACCTTTTTTTCAAATAGAGTTGTTTTCCCATGAAATGCGCTTTCCCAAGCAGCAATGAACGCTCCATCAATCAATGCTTTGAAAAACAACATAAAAAAAAAGCTTTTAGAGCTACAATTCGCCAGGTTTGAATTATTTTGTTCTATCTTTTTGATAAAATTAGAGTTTTTGATTGTGTTATGTAACTCAAAAAAATGTTATGTACCTCAAAATAATGTTACGTAACTCAAAATAATGTTATGTACCTCAAAGTAATGTTATGTACCTCAAAATAATGTTATGTACCTCAAAATAATGTTATGTACCTCAAAATATTGTTATGTACCTCAAAATAATGTTATGTACCTCAAAATAATGTTATGTACCTCAAATTAATGTTATGTACCTCAAAATAATGTTTTGTACCTCAAAATAATGTTATGTAACTCAAAATAATATTATGTAACTCAAAATAATGTTATGTACCTCAAAATAATGTTATATACCTAAAAATAATGTTATGTACCTCAAAATAATGTTATCTATCTCAAAATAATGTTATGTACCTCAAAATAATGCTATGTACCTCAAAATAATGTTATGTGCCTCAAAATAATGTTATGTATCTCAAAATAATGTTATGTACCTCAAAATAATGTTATGTACCTCAAAATAATGTTATGTACTTCAAAATTATGTTATGCACCTCAAAATAATGTTTTGCACCTCAAAATAATGTTATTTAACTCAAAATAATAATATGTACCTAAAAATAATGTTTTAAAACTCTATTGAAAGCTAAGTTATAATCAAAAAAAGTGCGGAGAAAAACGTAAGCAGTAAAAGTCTTTTGAAAAGCTGTTTCGTTAAGTTTTTATTTTTTAATCGTTTTATCTCAAAACTCAAAAATGTGGAGATATTCGTCGGTGTTTTTATATTCGTTAGCATAGAGGGGCCTGGTGAATCATCTTTTCATTAAACTTTCATCAAAATTATCAAGATTTATTTATTGTATAAAGTTTTTTTTTTATCACTAAATTAAAAAAATAAAAATAAATAGTTACGCAAAAAAGCTGAAATTTTGACATTTTGTTCTTCATAATAATAAAATTTATTTAGAGAAAAATTTTGTTTAACGCATTTTAGTTCTTGAAATTTTATCATATTAATCTTGTTTAATTATTTTGTTTGTGTGTGTCATTTTTTAAAAAAAAAAAATTTTTTTATGCGCTCAAGCATATATATTAGTGATACTAGAGTATAGGAATGGTAATTTTATAGAACTAAGGGTTAAGAAAGGCTTTCAATGTGCATAATGATAAAAAAAGTAAAACTCCGTGAATTTCGCGACAATTTTATTAACACTTCAAAATAGCGTTAAGGCCAAAAAAGTATGTTATTTCTAAAACTATTGATGTTTGGAGATCCTTTTATATCTAAAATATTTTACAAATTAAATAATAATAATCATAATAATACTTGCTAAATATTCAGAAAACAAAATACGATTAAAAGTAAAGACCAAAAAAAATTATGTATAAATATAGTTATCTATCTAACATCTCATATAAACAAAAAAAGTCAAACTTCAATCTAAACCCTGGATAATTTCTGACTTTCTCAAATCTATTTCTAATTTCTAATAAAAAAAATACTTTAAAAAAATTTACTACACCAAAAAATAATGAATATCTATTACTTACTATAATTCCAAATAAATGTTCTAAAAAAATGTTCTAGTGTTCTGAACATTTTTTTAAACAGTTTACTTAGGATGGAAAGCAGAGAAATAGATTAATAACTGGAGTAGTCTAGACCAGTGTGGCACGCTCAGGGTTATGTACTAACTGATTATGCCAACCAGCATCACCTCTTGGGAAAAATAGCGGAGAAACCATAGGATCCACGTTGGCTGACATACTTGATACAATTTTTAAAGGATGACCTCTTGGATAAATAACAACTTCCCTGGAAGTTGGGGGAGCACCATCTTCGCCAACAAATACAACTGCAACTTCATCATGCGAAGGTAGATTATAGCAACGTCTATCACCCCCTTCAAGTAAAGACATTTTTACAACAGAAGCTTGGCGACCTTCTATAGCCGTTTGACGAATTTCTTCATCTTCTACTTCAGCCATGTTTTTAAATGCAAGAGCAAATGGACTTTGTTCAGTAATTATAGTTTGCAATTGAAACATTAAATCACGTAAACAAAGATCATTAACACATTTTTGGTTTTTTAAATTAACTGCTGCAAGTGGATCATAAATATATAGTTGAGAATATTTTGGTAGCATATTTTGATCTGGCCTAAGATTACCTACACGATGATAAATCTGACCACATATTTTAAAACATGGAGGCCCATGATTTATTAGTTGAACTACATCTGCTTTAAAAGAAGCTAAAGAAAGGCATTATAATTTCGAATATGTTTTAGAAAATTGCCATTAGCATTACAATCTACATAACTCCTTGTAAATAAATCCTGTAAAGCTTGTGTAAATGGTAAAAGTGGGGGCAAAGCTACCTTACGATTATGGCAACATAGAAAATTTGTTTCATCTGGAAATTTCTTAGCACCACAGTGCTGACAAATTTGATTCATTTCTCCTAAATAATTACAATCTGGAACAGCATTACTTCTTGCTATAGAATACATTCGACCAGTTCTAGCAGCATTTCTTTCATTTTGGTGACAATTAAGCCTATTTCTTTCATTTCGGCGATGATTATTTTCAACTTCCCTAACCAACCTTTCCCGATTTGGGTTCAAATTATCTTCAGCTCGTATAACAGCTCTTCTTACATTTTGGCGATGATTAACTACATCACGATTAAGCCTATTTCTTTCATTTTGCTGACGAATAATTTCATCTCGCCTAAGTCTATTCCTTTCATTTCGACGACTATTATTTTCAACACGCCTTAAAGCATTTACATTATTTTGTTCATGCAAAACTTCATTTAGCCTAACCAACTCTTCAACATCATAGTTTTCATTAAACATATTGTTAAAATTAATTCAAACTCTTTATAATTCAAAATCTCTTTTTATACTACTCTGAATTGCACAATAGAGTAAAATAATTTAATTAATCTAAAATTTAAAATAAACTACAAATAAATATATAAAGAAACATGATTGCAAAACATAAACCTCGTTGCTATTACTTGAGCTGAATTTCTTGTAACAACGATTAATTTAAGCCTTTTACGGGTATATCCCATTTGTTTTAATTCTCTTTTGATTGTAGCTGTCGAGCATTTATGTTCTTCTGGCATTAACTCTGCAATGTCAATAGTAGTTAATGCATTATTTGCATTAATTAATAACTCGATTTCTCTCTTTCTTTCAATATTATTTCGTGCAGCTCTGCCACGTTTTTTTGGTATTATATTTTGGTCTGCTTCAAGCTTTCGTATCCAGTTTTGTATTGTCCTAATTGAAAGACCTGTTGCATTTGCAATAGATCGACTTGATTCGTTGCCAATCAACATTCTTTTTATTGTAGCAATATTTTCTTCCGTTGCTGTTTTTTTTTTGTTTGTTCAGCCATTTCGATATTTGGATTATTGAGTTGTTGTTAGTCATTATGGCTTAAAGTGTTTTGATTTAAAAATAATTATGGACAAATGGAAATAATTGTGGACGCGACGAAAATAATTGTGGACGCGACGAAAATAATTGTGGACGCGACGAAAATAATTGTGGACGATACTGTAAGCTACTAAACATTATCTACTTAATGTCTACTTGGGCATTTTGAACTCCTACCATGAAATACGCGATTAAGAAAATTCTAGAAACTAAGAAAGAGTGTATTTTACAAAATACAGAACCGTAAATACAATAAGTAACTAACAACAAATAGTAACTAACGGCGCTATTCACTATTAATATTTATAGATTGTAAGATTGTATTATATTGTTGTCATTTTTAAATTGCGTTTTCTTTTCAATAAAAAATTCGTTTTAAAGTTGCGTTTACTGTCAATTCAAATTGCGATTATCGTTTTTTTTTAAACTTTGTAATCGCAAACTTTGATCATGTGAATTATTATTATGGCTACACCAAGTAATTAAAATAACTTTAAACTTAGTCAGACCTTAAAAAAAAAGTTAGTAAAACCTTAAAAAAAAAGAAGTATGTTATATATTATTATTATATAAATGTAAAAAAATGAAAAATTTAATTAAAAAACATTATTACTATTGAAGATCAAGCGAGAGTATTTATTTTTTTACTTTTTTTTATTAAAAACTTTCTTTCGAAATTAGCGGTTTCTTATTAATTAATCCCGTTATAATAAATATTGTTAGTATTATATTATATTGTATTGTATTATATTGTATTATACATATATTGTATTATGTAGTGGTTACATACTTTATTATATATATTTTTTTAAATATATTGATATTTATTGTATTATATAGCGATTGAAAAAATTTTAATTATATTGTATTATATAGCGGTTGAGAAAAACTGTCAAAACAAAATTAAATTACTGGATTACGAATGACTCAACTAAGACATAAACTGCTCAAATGGAAAAAACCTGAAAAAAAAAACAGACGTTACTATCATAAACATTGACGCGTACAGAAAACAACCAATCAAACTACTAGAAATCTATGATCTGGAAAATAAATCTTAATACTTCTAAGTAAGTTATACTTTGTGGCACGACATTAATTGTAATTTAATTAGTTTTTTTCATACAAGCATAAGCGTATTAAAATATGCAGAAGTTGAACTTTGTTACCATAACTATGATAATATTTTAGACACTTTAGACATAATTACCCAAGGAGACAACATGGACAGAAAATGTAGATTGGTAAATAATTTTTGGTTATTAATCTATGGATTCTGTTAATAAAAGTATTAAACAGAAAATGGCGGAGAACAAATTTATTGTAATAACTGGACCAAACGGATGTGGAAAGTCAATCTTTCTTAAACAGTATTATGAAAAAGTTAATAATTTAGATCCGAATAATGGGAAAATATTTTTTATGAGACATAATGAATACTTTGATGAATTTACTCCACTACCATTCAGCTCTGAAGGTGGTCGTAAATTTGCCGATTTAAGGCCAAACGACCGAATCATTGAAGAAATCTTCGAAGCAGCGAAATCTGAAGTGTTCGATAAAAGCCTTATCAATAAAAACATAACAGGTGAATATAAATTAGCAAAAGATAATGTAGTAAAGCAATATAAATTTGATGACTTTTTATCTAAAAAAGATGAAATATTTGAAAATATTAAAAAAATGCTGAGTATCTTTCTTAATACAAATGTCGAGCATACAGGTTATTTCAGGTATATGTGTCGCGCTTATATGATTCGATTTGAGGACAATTTTAATGAAGCTAAAAGCAGTAAAAAATTTTCAAAAGTATTTTTTTTTTACAGAAATAAATTGCAAATACAACAAACTTCAGGGCTTTCTGCAGATGAGTTCTTAGCACTTTGGGATAACAATGAGGATTTTTCAAATAAAATTTTGATAAATTATGCATTTTATAATTGCGGAGTACTGGATTTTATAGAAGACTTAAATGCGATGCTAAAGAAAATCAACTATAAATATAAATTTTCAGTTGAACCTAAAAAAGATTTTGATTTTAATTATCCATCCATTAATTTTATGATATCTGATCAAAATAATGAAGCAATTAATGATTCTCTAATCAGACTTTCTTCGGGAGAAAACTGGATTCTAGGTGTTTTAATGTGGCAGTATAGCTCATCTGGTTCTACTAGTAGAATTCCTATAAAGTTTAAAGAGTTAATACTAGATGAACCTGATAAACATCTTGATCCAAAGTTGTGCAAACAGTTTATAGATATTGTCACTAAAGTATTTATACCAAATGGAATCCAAGTAGTCATGACTACGCATCGCGTTGATACGGTAGCACTAGCACCAAAAGAGAGCATATTTAAGCTTCCACCAGATTATAATGAAAAAACTAGATATAGGTCTGGTGAAGAACAACTTAACAGTCTTCAAAAGTCTTGTAAAGCGGAAGCTACATTTCGTATGACCTCTAATTTAAGAGAAATAACAAACTACCACCATAAAGTATATACAGAAGCTTTAGATGATGCACATTTTTATGAAAGCGTTTACTCATTTTTAAGAGTTTATTGCTCTGAAGTTCGCCAAAATGCTCGTGACAATTTAGTAAAAGGGGATGATAGATTTCATTGGGACATTAACGGAGAAAAAATAAGGATTTTGTCAGAACGTTGTCAGTTGTCGTTTTACCCAGCTAGTACGGCAGGTAATGATCAGGGTGGTTGTGAGGAAGTAAAAAAAGCAGTTAGACGTGGTCAGAATTTTCATGATGCTTCTAAAGGACCATTTGACGAACTCGCGTTATTGATACCCTACGGTATTTTAGATAATGACTATGATAAAAAACATAATTTTTCAAGCAAAGGAGAAGTTAAAATTGATATTACGGATTACATTGTAACTTTCGAAAGACATAGCTTTGAAAATTTTCTTTACGATCCATTTATAATAGTAAGTATCTATAAATATATGAGTTCTCAAGAAAAGACTGATACTAGTAATTTCGACGAATGTTATCAAGTTCTGAAATATGCTCTTGATAAGAAACCTGTTGAACTGGGAGAGGTTCAGTTTGCAGCTAACCAATGTTTTTACCAATTAATAAAAAATAAAGACAAGGTTGACAAAGCATTAATAAAAAAAAAAATTGACGCTGAGATTGACAAAAGCATAAAATTTAAATTGGAATTGGAACCTGCAAAAGCTTATGCAAGTTCAAAACTTGACCAAATATTTGGTTTTGATATAGAAAAAGATTTAGACAGTTTAAAAATTGAAATATGTGATCGAAATGCATTTTCTAAAGGCGCCAATGTTAAAGAACCTGACGCTTTGTATGATATAATAAAACCACAGCAGATTATTAATCGTAGAATTGTAGAATTCTACCAGAAAGATGCGTTAAATAAATTAGGAACTCAAAAAATAGCCGTGATCATAGATAATAAGGAATCAATTGAAGTAGAGTATCCAAAACTGTTTTTAAAGTGGAGGGGTCATGAGCTTAACTACCCAGTTAAATCTAGTAAAAAGAATTTTAAAAAAACTTTGTTAAATAACCTGCAAAAAATGCCTACAAATTTGTTAAAAGAAAAGACCCGTCTATTTGTTCCCATGGACTTAGCGAAGATATTTTTTGACTTAAGTACAAAAGTTAGACATCACGTACGTGAGAAAATTAAGCCAGACAATAAAAAAGTAGCAAATTATGAAAAAAGTGGTAATTAGATTTAATGACACCGAACAACTAACAAACAAAATAATACACCGAACAAACAAAACACCGAACAAACAAAATAATTATCCTACTGACAATATTTATGACGAATTAAAAGGACGATAGTTACTGGCCTACTTATTGGTATCAATAAAGTAAGAAAATAATAAATAAAAAATTTGAGCTTTGTAGTAAAAGTGCAAAAATCAAAAATTGTAAATATGTAAGTGCAGAAGTTAATAAGTTCGATTTTGGTAGAGTTTTGCTAACGTTCCTAGCAAGTGTGATGTTAGTAGTAATGATAGTATCAACATCAATATAATAAGAACTCGGTTGATCTAGTAACAGAGCATAGTTCAGATTAGATTGAAATACGTTATTTAGACTAATTTGCATATTGTAGTTACTGAACATCAAGTAAAAATATAACAATAAATAATATAACATTCTTTGACAGAAGGCTTGTTACTCCATACTATTAGACATACAGAAGGCATGTTATACCATATTATTGTTGATTCAGGTTATTTTATTTTTCAATTATGATTATAAATAGTAAAGTTATATAGTTCACAAAGTTTTTGTTTTTACAATAAATGTATTTACATAATCGCGAGTTTTTACATTTTTTCAGCTTACAATTTTTTGTAACTCCTGTCTTAATGGCTATCTTCTAAAACTAACTTTGCTAAAGGATATATATCATTTATTATATATGGGTAGGTAGAGTAATTTTTTCTAAATTGATCAAGTATTTAAATGTTATATATCATATCTGGGTTGATTTGCCCAAATGTCAAACTTCCAAAGTCATTTTTTTCTCTATAATTTTATTTTTAAAACGCTTTCATTAAAAATTATAAAGAATTTCCAATAATTATGCTATTGGGCTAATTTTTGTTATAGTATGTAGCATATGTTTTTATATATTTCGTTTTAGTATGTATGCTCTAAACTTTCTGCAACTATGATAATAACCCAGCAAACATGTCCTATTGGGGCCCATATGGGTTTGTCCAATTAGGTTCTATGTGGGTTCTATGTATGGGTCCAAAATAGGTCCCATACATAGTTTTTACATGATAAATCTTCTAAACTATAAACATTCATGTTTATAGTTTAGAAGATTTATCATGTAAAAACACACATTAAAAATTAGAAGATCAAGAGGTGATGTGATATGACTATACAGAGCTATTAATGACTTTAATGTCATAAATTCGTATAATGCTCCAATATTTATAAAAAATTTTACTACAAAAGACAACAATAAATGATATATGAACAACAATTCCAAAAATCAAACGGTCAACATAATTTTTTTATAAATAGAATAGCCGGCAAATAAAACCATTCATAACTAGAAGTTGTGAAAGCGAAAGATCTAACTATATTTTTAACACTTTACGATAAATATATACAAAACTGTGAAAAGCTGTTAAATTCTGCCATCTACATTTGTTAGACTATACACTAATAATGTGTATATTTATCACTACTTTGTTGGTTTATTTATTCATTTTATTTATAAGTAAACAAATTAGCAAATTTATTTGAAAAAAATATTTAATAATGATTAAACTCCAAGAAAAATAATTATAATAAAGACAACAACGAATTCTTCAAATTATTTTGCTAAAAATACTTATATGTTCAATTTTAAATATATAGACTTTGCAACTTTTCTTATTTAGAGCTTTATATGTTAGTAATATTTAGATATCCATTTTTTGACTTCAATAACTTTGCATAACACTATAACATTCTTATACTATATTTATAGAGAAAATTTCATTTTTATATTATTCCTATTAATCTATAAGAATATTACAAAAAAGTTACGAATATGACAACAAAAAGATAATAAAATTAAGCAAAATTGTTTAAATAACCAACGCTATATCATTTTATATATTTCCTTTTCTATCAAACCAATATTTTTATCAGAAATATTGGTTTGATAGAAATATATCAAACCAATATTTCTGATAGAAATAAAAAAAAAAAAAATTGAAATTGATAAAAAAAATATATCTATTTTTTTTATCAATTTCAATCATTCTTCAGTAACCGTAAATTAGGTTTTATATTTCTTTAACTATATATATATATATATATATATATATATATATATATATATATATATATATATATATATATATATATATATATATATATATATATAAATATATATATATATATATATATATATATATATATATATATATATATATATATATATATATATATATATATACATATATATATATATATATATATATATATATATATATATATATATATATATATATGTATATATATATATATATATATATATATATATATATATATATATATATATATATATATATATATATATAAGAATGGGCTAGAGTTTCAAACTAGTTTCTAAGTAAAGGGTGCATTGATAGTTTCGAAAAGGGGTGTTAATCAACCACCTAAACCTCACAAAAATACACTTTTTTCATAAAAGAGTTTTTTTTTTATGAAATTGATAATATTTATGTATGACAAGTTCTTATTATTTTATTCCACATCACTAGCAAATATAACAGGTCAATCTTAAAGTTTAGTGTTGGATTATGGGTAGGTTTAACATACCCTGTCATGATTTAATTCTTTTATATATTTCAATCTTTACTAAAATAAGTAAATTTATTATAAAAAATTGTATTTCAATACTTTAAAAAATAGTTAGTAGCGGTGTATCAATTGCATTTGTAGGAGGGGCGTATGCCCCTCCCTCTGACCCAAACCTTAAAAAAAATATTTATGAGAATTTTACAAAAGAAAAATATTAAACGTATTGAGTATTAAACGTATTAAAAATTGAGTAGTAAACGTATTAAAAATATTAAACATATTGAGATTACGACTTGTTATCAAACCATGAGAAACTTTTGATATCTAAATTACATCACATTGATATCAATTTTTGACGAAACACCACAACCTCGAGGTTGTGGTATTCTGTCAAAAATTGATATCAATGTGATGTAATTTAGATATCAAAAGTTTCTCATGGTTCGATATCAAGTCGTAATCTCAATATGATCTCATGATGATATCACAACCATACTTGAATTTATTTATCTATGGTTGTGACATCTATATGATATCAGATTGAGATAATTATTTGATATCGCACCCGGAGAAATTTTTGATATCATAATAATATCATATTGATCTCATGCGTTGACTGGGATGATATCATAGATCTCACAGTATGAGATCAGTATGACATTATTATGATATCAAATAGCTGACTGGGATATTTTCCAGATCATAGATTTCTAACGGCTTGATTGGTTGTTTTCTTTACGCGTCATTGTTTATAATATAATGACAGGTCTAGTGGTGTAATCTCTTGGCTTTTCAAAGTTTTTTTTCCTGAATGAAGTACTGTTTATGACTTACTTGAGTCATTTTCTATAATTATCAGTAATCCAGTAATTTAATTTTATTTTGATAGTTTTTCTCAACTGCATTGGAAAAAACTAGAAAAAAAATGTTTAAATACTAAAAACTACTACAGTATAATGCAATTAATTAAAATGGAACCGTTTATTTAAAAATATTTTTTTTGATAAAAAAAAGTGGAAAAATATTTAATTATTCTCGCCAGTGACGAATTCAGGGAAGGGAGATGGTGTATGAATCTCCGGCCCTCCCTCACAGAGATTGACGCGTTTTTTTGGTTCTTGTTTTTTTGGTCGTTTTTTTGGAAAAAAAAATACAGGGGTCCGTTTTTTTGGTTTTTATGGGAAATATTCAAAAATTCATAGGAAATATTTAAAAAAAAAAAAGATCCTTGTCTTCCGACATTTGCCGACTGACAACTATAAATCCAATTTTGCCGTTTAATGTATCCAATTTGCCGGCTAATAAAATTTGTAAGGGGGCTAGACACCCCTACGCCCTTCCTCCTCGGGACGGCCCTACGTACAACTTTTTTTATTTAGAGTTAACTTTTATCTGACTAAATTTAAAGTCATTTTAACTACATCAAAGCCTTAATAATGAGTCACGTGACCGCTAATCGTAATCATAATAAAAACGTAATCGCTGATTGAAATATTTTGATTTGTACGAAATAATAATAAGCGGGGAGAAGAGGCTGAGGTCAAAAACATAGGGGAAAAAAATGAGGGGAAGGGGATCATCAGAAAAGGACGTCACTCTTGGATTTATCTTAATTAAAGGGAAGAAGTTCGAGTTGATATTTGTTTAAATTTTATTTCCGTATATATATTTCGTATATATTATTATATATTGAATATATTACAATTAATTGATACTGTTAAACTATTAATAGCTTCTCGTATCTCAAATCTGCAGGCATGCTAACATTTTAATTAACGTTTAAGTAACGTTCGCTCTAAATGTTTAAATTTAATTTCGTTCTGATTTATTCGAATTCGAGTAAAAAGTTATTCGAATGTTCCTTTTAAACTCAACCTAAACAATTAGTTTTAAACACAATTTAAACGTAATCTAAATGTTCGTTTTAAACACCGTACAAATGCTATGAATGAAACGATTGTTTTATACAGTCGGCTCTCGATATCTCGAATACTTGATATCTCGAACTTTTTTAGCGGTCCCATTGACATAACGTACTAGTTTAAGCTAAAATCCTCTCGATATCTCGAACCTTAATATCTCGAAATTTTTGATATCTCGAACAATATTTTCGGTCCACAGGGCAATTTTCTCTCGAACTTTTCAACATTTTTATTTTCAAAAATGTTTTAATAAAATTTAATTTTTTTTAAATTCAAATTTTCAAAAAAAAAAGAATTTAATTCGATTTTGAAACTTGATTTTTTTTAAGAATCGAATTTCTGAAAAGTTTTCCTTTAATATATTAATTTATTCTTTTTGTCAAACGCAACAACATGCGGCTCGTTAAACGAAAACTTACGAACAAATCTATAATAGAAAAATGCAAGGCATTAAAAGACCTAGAGACAGGGAAGTCTAACAAAGAGGTTGCCAAAAAGTATGGAGTCCCAAAGAACACATTATCAACCTGGATTAAAAATAAAACCAAGTTATTAACCTCACTGGAAAAAAATGGCACAAAATCTAAACGGAAGAAACTTTGTAGTGGTAATTTCAAAAATATAGACAAGGCCATATACACGTGGTTTGTTGCAAAAAGAAGTCAACAAGTACCAATTGATGGTACCATACTAAAAGTCACAAAATTGTGCGTTTGTGTATCAAGGCTGTTGATAATAACGAACCCATGCCAAAAATTTCTATACTTCAAGCAATGAAAGATCTTGTTTGTTCGTGGAATGCTGTGTCGAAGGAGACTGTCATCAACTGCTTTAAAAAAGCTGGTATCAGCAAAACAAACAAGAGTATTGAAGAAGCTGATGATGATCATCTTTTTAAATTTTTGACAGAACTTAACCGTTTGCGAGAGTAAGATCCTCGTGCCGTCCAAGATCTTTTTTATTTATTTTCAACCCTTTTCTTGATATCTCGAACTCTCGATATCTCGAACTTTTTTTCCAGTCCCCTTAGTGTTCGAGATATCGAGAGTCGACTGTATTTCTTTTTAGTATTTATTATGAGTGT